AATGGAATGGTCTACTTGGTTTGTTTACAAGTTTGTGGGTGTAAGTCATTTAATTTATAGATATTTTAATTGCTAATATATATATATATATGTGTGTGTGTGTGTATATATATATATATATATATATATATATATCCTTTTTCACTTTTGTTCTTAGAAGGAAGGGTTAGTTACACCAAACTCTCCCGACAAAGAGTTTAAGTGGGTCAGTGAAGGTGGCACCATTTCACACCATTATTATTTACAATTATTCATGTACACACACACACACACACATATATATATATGTATATATATGTTCTCATGTTTATATAATGTTTTAGTATAAAATAAAAATTCTAAATATTAATAACCGTTAGATTAGAAAACTAGTTGATTATATTCACCATAATTGATTTGGTGATGTGTGTGTGTATATTATATATATATATATATATATATATTGATTTTATGGGGGAAATTCAGAATTTAATTTTATTCAATAAATATTCATATATTCACTATAATTGAATTTTTTAAATAAAACCCATAAACATTTTTTTTTATTATTACTAACTTTAGTGTGTTTCATAAAATTTTATAAAGAGAATAAAAATTGTAAATTACATATGGAATTATAATTTGTAGTTTGATTACTCTCAAAATGAAATTCAAAATATGCTGAATTAATATAAGAGAAAATATTTTTAAAAATCAGTAAAAAAAAAAATTATTTCAAGGCAAAAATTTTGGCCATAATATTAAAAATTAAATTTTTAAAAGATTAAAAAAATAAAATATTATAAACTTAAAATAAGTAAATTCTTAATTAATAATTAAATTATTATTAAGAACTATACATTCCAATGGGCATTTGAGCCTTCAACACAATTGGGTTTGGATATTTTGAAGTAATTTTAGATTTTATTGGGTTTTGTTAAGTAGGCCTTCTCACTCTCTACAACCATATAAACACACCCATATATGTGTATGTATATGTATGTGTGTGTATATATATATATATATATATATATCTCATGGTCTCTATGGCCTTTTTTGTGGGTCTTTTATTAATTGCATTTGCTATCATTATGTATTGTTGTTTTAGTTGTTTGAATTAGTGCTAATAACAAAATGACTTAGTAGTTAAGAATATGTGTGGTATTTGGAAATTATGAATTCTAAATTTATTAATGATATAATGTTTATCATTTTGTTGAATGCATTATGAGATAATAATAATGATCAGACTTATAATATTTAATTTAGTTATACTAGAAATTTAAGTTAATAATATATTAGTGAAACTGCGATAATCAACTTGAATTAAGTTGAGTTACGACTATAATTTATTATTATTTTTGTACATTTTATAAGAAATTATAACTGAAAATACCCAAATAATTATATTTTTATAGAGAAATCATAGTACCATAAATCTATAAGTTGTATATGTAACGACTCCGGAAATATCCAAAGGAAATAAAAGATAATTAAAGTGCAAAAGCGTAATAAATGTTCAAGGTTTACATTCCTTACACAAATAACTTAAAGTATCAAACAACGTTACGAAATTCATTCTTTTGAAAGAAATACAAGAATAACGAAATAAACGAAAAATAAAGAAATCTAACATCTACTCACAATCTTCATGCAGATCGGGCTCTGGAACTTGGTTCTCTTGATCTGAATGGTTAAATAAGGGATGAGCTATACTAACTCAGTAAAGATATCACACTATATCACCGACACATAAGTAAATGTTGGTATAAAATCAACACACTAATAGAGCACTTAATTTAAATAAATTCGTTTATCATAAATAAAACTATTTACTGTTCACTTACCGTAGTGGGATTTATAAAAATAATATATGCAGACAATTAATATCATACAGATCATAATTTCATGTAAAATCAGCAACATAACACATTTCACAAGTCTATATACATCGTCAATAAACCAAACAATAACTGTCACTTTTTCACCAGCCTACTAGTATCCATAGGGGTTCATAGGGATGTCCCCGCCACACAAGAACCCTTTCTTTTAACAATCTCAATTACGAGCTGTTCCCATACCCCATCCCGTATGAGCGCCAAATTATTAAATCTCAATACCTCATCCGGTATGAGAGTGAAGCAGACCGTCCTCATACCCTATCCGGTATGAGCACCAAATTATCATGTCTCTATACCCTATCCGGTATGAGACAACGTTCATGGTAAGGTTCCCTATGTACCTGGTCCGTTCACCATCTCTCAGGATATCTAGTAAGGTTGTCGTTTTCATTTATTCATCTTCCCACACAACTTTTCCGTTTTCCATTAGTCTCCATTTTCTAAATCAACCATAATCACACAAACAAACAAACATGCATAAGGGAATACAAACATATCTCAATTTTTCAACTAAACGGTGATCACATAAAGCAGCAATACATGCATTCAAACTATAAAATTGATAAATCATATACTATCATACATTTAAATTGTAAAATAAATCAACAGAGAATAATTTTCAGTTTTGGCTCCATTCGCAATCCGTAATTAATTATGCACATATATTAAATTCGCACAAAATACTATATTATTATTTATTTAAACTTCAATTTTATGATAGAGAATAGGGTGATGGATCCTTACTTGATTTGATGTCTGAAAAATAAAACTGTTCTACTGCACCTACGGGCGATTCCCGGATTCCCTAAATTTTTGTTCGGGAATTAAAACGGGCTAATAGTACCTACAAATGTCCCAAACAAACCCAAGATCAGTCCTGGGGCCTATTTGGCCAATTTTAGAATTCCGACACGGTGGCGATCCTCATCAGGTCAGTTGTTTTTGGCAAATTTTATATCGATCCCTGCGAAAAAATACGTTAAAGGGCCTCGATTGGCAAAAAAAAAATACAAAAAATCGAAACTCACCGGCGGCGGGGCTCTCCAGTGCGGCGGCTCCTCCAGCTCACGTTGCGGTTGGGTGTTTTGCTCTGGTCAACCTGTAGAGAAGGACACGGTGATCACAGCGGTGAAAAAATTACACAAAACAGAAAATGGGAAGGACCTCATCGGGGGTGTTTTGTAAAATTTCCTACGGCAGCACCACCAGGCTTCACTGGCCTTTTTCGACCAATTGGCCGATCTTTTTGCTCTGATTTTGTCATGGGTGAGCTTAAAATTGAATTTCGAGCAAAAAAAAAAGTTTTTACCTTTTTTGGCTGTCGGAGAAAGTTCCGATGCGGCGGTGGGTGGCGGCGGTTCCTTCCCGGCGGCCAGGTCTTCTTTTCCGACGAGGGGGTTCTGGCGACTAGGGTTAAAGTTTGGTGTGAATGAGAGTTATTTATATTCGTCCACTTTTGATCTGGACCGTCCATCACGTTTGATCTGGATCATCCATCACGTTTGATCTGGACCGTCCATCACGTTTGATCTGGATCATTTATCACATTTGATATGGACCGTCCGATTGCGATTAAATAGGAAGTGAATCTAGATCGTTCATCGCGATCCAATCTGAACCGTCTATCACGATCTAATCTGGACTATTTGATTACTTGAATATGACCGTTCGATCGCGTTTTGGAGGGAACGCATCCAGACCGTCTATATGCGCGGGAATGGACCTGGGCCGTTCGATCATGGATACGCAGATCGCCCACGTGGCTCCCCGCGTGGTACAACGTCAGTGCCCGTTGCCACGTGGCGCGTCCTAGTTCGTCGGGATTGCTAATCGGGCATCCTACGTGGCAATTTTTTTTTAAATTACGTTTTAACCCCCGGTTTCTAATTTTTCTTTCAAAAATACCTACAGAATCCAAATTTTTACCCATTTTATCCAAAATTACTTTCAATTTTATCATCCATCAATTTTACTTCTTTTTTTACTCTAAATTAAAATTAAAATT